TTTCTGTAGTTTAGGGGCTGTGTGATGTGGACAAAGGGTAAAATTGGCCAGTAGTAATATTTATGGTATTGTTGTTGTAACAGTGACAAAATATTCTTTTTTTACAACTTTAATTTTTTCATTTTACATACTTGTCACATTTCTCCTCCATTCCCTTTTCCCACTCATCTCTCCACATCCAATCCACACCATCTCCTCCCAGGCAGTAAGTGCTCCCTTGGGGAATCCACAAAATCTGGTGTTCTTAGGTGAGTGGATTATTATCAGGGTCTTCAATTCAATTCCATTGATCCACATAGATGTTTGTATGCCTAAACCAAGCTGTTCTTATTACTATAGCTCTATAGTACAGCTGGGAGTCAGGGATGGTGATGCCCCCTGAAGTTCATTTATTTTACAGGGTTGTTTTGGCTATTCTGGGTTTTTCCTTTATCCAGATGTAGTTGAGTATAGTTCTTTTGAAATATGTGAACAATTGTATTGGGATTTTGATCGGGATTGCATTGAATCTGTAGATTGCTTTTGATAAGATTGACATTTTTACTATGTTGACCCTATTTATCCAAGAGCATGGAATATCTTTCTGTTTTCTGATATCTCCTTCAATTTCTTTCTTTAAAGACTTAAAGTTCTTGTTATACTTGTTTTTTGTTTGTTTAGTTAGAGTTAAGCCAAGGTATTTTAGGTTATTGTGGCTATTTTAAAGGACAATATTTCTTTGATTTCTTTCTTAATCCATTTTTCATTTATCATTTGTGTATAGGAGGGACAGTAATGTTTTTGAGTTAATCTTGTATCCTGCCACATTAATGAAAGTATTTATAAGGTGTACTAATTCCTTGGTAGAATTTTTTTGGGTCACTTACATATACTATCATATCATCTGCAAATAGAGAAAATTTGGCTTCTTCCTTTCCAATTTGTTTCTCATTGATTTCCTTTTGTCAATCTCAGTATCTGTGTTAATGGTGTTATGTTCAGGAAGTGGTTTCCTGTACCAATATGTTCAAGGGTACCGCCTACTTTCTCTTCTAACAGGTTCAGTGTTGCTGGATTTATGTTGAGGACTTTAATCCATTTGGACTTAAGTTTTGTGCATGGCGATAGACATGGATCTATCTGCAGTCTTCTACATACCAATAACCAGTTATGCATACAACATTTGTTGAAGTTGTTATCTTTTTTCCATTGTATAATTTTAGCTTCTTTGTCAAAAATCAGGTGTTGTAGGTGTGTGAGTTAATATCACAGTTTTCAATTCGATTCCACTGGTCTACCTGTCTATTTTTGTGCTAATACAAAGCAGTTTTCAGGACTATAGGTCTATAATAGAGCTTGAAGTCAGGGATGGTGATGCCTCCAGATGTTACTTTTTTAACAGAGTCGCCTTGGATTTCCTCGGTCTTTTGTTTTTCCATATAAAGTTGAGAATTGTTCTTTCAATGTCTGTGAAGTTTTGTCCTGGAAGTTTGATGGGGATTGCATTGAGTCTATAGATTGCTTTTAGCAGGATTACCATTTTTACTACATTGATCCTCCTATCCAAGAATATGGAAGATCTTACCATTTTCTGGTATATCCTTTAATATCTTCCTTTAAAGAGTCAAAGCTCTTGCAATACAGGCATCTCACTTGTTTGGCTAGCATTACCCCAAAGTATTTTATGTTGTTTGTGGCAATTGTAAAGGGTGGTGTTTCTCTGATTTCTTTCTCAGCCCTTTTATTGTCTGTATATTGTAGGGATACTAATTTTCTTGAGTTGATCTTGTATGCTGACACTATGCTGAAGGTGTATATGAACTGTAAGACTTCCCTGGTAGAGTTTTTATGGATCACTTATGTAAACTATTTTATCATCTGCAAATACTGAAAGTTTGACTACTTCCTTTCCAATTTGTATCCCCTTGATCTCCTTTTGTTGTCTTGTTTCTCTAGCAAGAACTTTGAGTACAATATTGAAGAGGTGTGGGGAGAGGGGACAGCCAGTCTTGTTCCTGAACTTAGAGGAATTGCCTTGAGTTTCTCTCCATTCAGTTTGATGTTGGCTGTTGGTTTGCTGTAGATAGCTTTTTATTATGTTTAGGTATGTTCCTTTTACCCCAGATCTCTCCAAGACATTTATCATGGATGGGTGTTGGATTTTTTTCCAAAGGCTTTTTCAGCATCTACTAAGATGATCATGTGATTTTTGGATTTTCATATGTTGAAGTATCCCTCCATCCCTGGGATGAAACATACTTGATCATGGTGGATGATTTTTCTGATGTGTTATTGAATTCGATTTGCTAGTGTTTTATTGAGTATTTTTGTATCAATGTTCATGAGGGATATTGGTCTGAAGTTCTCTTGCTTAGTTATGTCTTTTTGTGGCTTGGGTGTCAATGTTATTGAAGCCTCATAAAAGGAGTTTGGCAAAGACCCTTCTACTTCTGTTGCATGGAATACTTTGAGGAGAATTGGTATAAGCTGTTCTTTGAATTTCTGGTAAAATTCTGCACCTAGGTCATTTTTGCTTGGGAGACTTTTGATGATGGCTTCTATTTCCTTATATGTTATACATCTATTGAAATTGCTTATCTGTTCTTGATTTAATTTTGATAAGTGATATTCACCTAGAAAATTGTCCATTTCCTTTAAATTTTCAAATTTTGTAGAATATAGTGTTTCAAAATATGACCTGATGATTCTCTGGATTTCTTCACTGTCTGTTATTATGTCCCCATTTTCATTTCTGATTTTGTTAATTTGCATGTTCACACTGCTGTTTGGTAAGTTTGGATAAAATTTTATCTATCTTGTTGATTATCTGAAAGAACCAACTCTTTGTTACATTGATTCTTTGTATTGTTTTCTTAGTTTCTACCTAATTGATTTCAGTCCTCAATTTAATTATTTCCTGCCATCAGCTCCTCTGGGGTGAGTTTGCTTCCTTTTGTTCTAGAGCTTCCAGCTGTGCTGTTAATTCTCTAGCGTGAGTATTCCCCAGGTTTTTTTTATGTGGGAACTTCATGCTATGAGCTTTCCTCTTAGCACTGATTACAAAGTGTCCCATAAATTTGGGTATGTTGGGTCTCCATTTTCATTGGATTCTAGGAAGACTTTAATTTCTTTTTTTTATTTCTTCTTTGACCCAGGAATGGTGCAATTGCACATTATTCATTATCCAGTTATGCCAGCACCAATTGTTGAAGATGCCTTTTTTTCAATTGTATAATTTTAGCTTCCTTGTCAAATCCAAGAGTTCATACTTGTGTGAGTTAATATTAGGGTTTTTGATTCTATTCCATTTGTCTACTTGTCTAGATTTGTACCAATACCAAGCTGTTTTCAGGACTATAGCTCTATAATAGCGCTTGAAGTCAAGGATGGTGATGTCTCAGGATGTTGCCTTGTTGAACAGGGATGTTTTGGCTATACTGGTTGCGTTTGTTTTTCCATATAAATTTTAGAATTGTTCTTTGGAGGTCTGTGAAGCGTTGTGCTGGGATTTCAATGGGGCTTGCATTGAATCTGTAGATTTCTTTGGGCAAGATTGGCAATTTTACTATGTTGATCCTGCCTATCCAAGAGCATGGGAGATCTTTGCAATTTCTAGTGTCTTCTTTAATTTCTGTCTTTAAAGACTCAAAGTTCTTGCAATACATGTGTTTCACTTGTTTGGTTAGGGTTACCCAAGGCATTTTATGTTGTTTTTGGTGATTGTAAAGGGTGATGTTTCTCTGATTTCTTTCTCAGCCCTTTTATCATCTGTATATAGTAGAGCTACTGATTTTCTTGAGTTGATCTTGTATCCTGCCACTTTGCTGAGGTATTTATCAGCTGTAGGAGTTCCCTGGTACAGTATTTAGTGTCACTAAAGTAAACTATCATATCATCTGGAAACAGTGAAAGTTTAACCTCTTCTTTTCCAATTTTTATTCCCTTGATCTCCTTTTGTTGTCTTATTGCTCTGGCTAGAAATTCAAGTACAATATTGAAGATGTATGAAGAGAGTGTACAGCCTTGTCTTGTTCCTGATCTTAGAGGAATCACATTGAGTTTCTGTCCAGTTAGTTAGATGATGGCTGTTGGTTGCTATATATAACTTTTATAATGTTTAAGCATGTTCCTATTATCCCAGTCTCTCCAAGACCTTCATTATGACTTGTTGTTGGATTTTGTCAAAGATTTCCCAGTATCTGGTGAGATGATCATGTATTTTTTGTTTCTCAACTTGTTTATATTGTGGATTACAATTACGGAATTTCTTATTTTGAACCATCCCTGCATCCCTGGGATGAAACCTACTTGATCATGGTGGATGAGTTTTCTCAAAAAAAAACACACACAAAAAAACTTCCTCTATTAGTGGTTGGTGGTACTGCTTACCATTAGATCTTAATGTCAGCACAGCTTTGTCTTGCTTTTATTCTCAGATCTAATTGAAAGATTGTTTAGGAAAATCTAACCTGAAACTGATCTGATACTTTTCCCAGCACCTCAACTCTCATGTTCTCCAGCATTTTGCAGCAAGCCCTTCTTACTCACAGCTTGCCTTCCCACATTTCATCCATCTGTCCTCCTCACCCTCATTTCCAAACTCCCACCCATTTATCCTTCCTCACTTTCCAAGTCCCCCAAACCCAATCCATGAGCCATTCTGACCTTTACGTCCACCTTCCCCACATCCAGCCCATCTGTCCTTCTCTTCCCTACCCTCTCTGTGCCACACAATCCATCCTTCTCATTCTCTCCCTACCTCCTGCTCATGCCACCCATCTTCCCCTCTCCTTACTCTCACCCCCATCTCCCTGCCATCTGCCCTTCTCTCACCTCCACACAGCCAATCCATTTGCCCTTCCACTCTCACTCCCCATCTGCCCTTATCCCACTCACTTTCTCTTCTCTTCCACCTGCAAACCCCACTCCTAGTTACCCTAGTCTGAAAACGGTACGGTGTTTATCTAGAAAAGACTGGAGAGGGATAACTTCAATCAAAGTAATAAATAAAACACAACAGATAAAGAAAACCGCAAGGTTTATTATTATGATCATGGAATTACATGTTGAAATTACATGGCATATCTTTGGGTCCACTCCTGAGCTAATTTATTATACTCCTCTAAATCTGTGTGGTAAATCGTCGCAACTTCAGGATCCAGAGGATCGTCTGGTTTTGGATCGCATAGTAGAGAGCAAATAGAAAGTAGTACATTGGAAATTGTGAGTGCCGGTGACCACTTAGAATTCAAGATGTCGAGGCAGATACTCCCCTTTTTGCTTATGTTGGGGTGAAAGATTCGGGTAATGAAAGAAATTTCGGGGGGCCGGTAGGGGTAATTGAATGGGAAGTGGATTGAGAGGAAAAATACCCCTCCCTCGTAGGGGCTGTCTTCTGGACCCATTATAGTTGCTTGCCAGTGGAGCAGGTTATCTGCTACCGGCCCTGCAGAACACTGGGCCGGGGGATCTTGATTCATGGCAGACAACTCCTTCCAAATTCTCTTAAGCGCAACCTTCTCCATAATAGGTTGAACTATCTTCTGTGGCAGCTTGTGATGACTCTGTTGAGCCTAGGGTATAGAGAGAGATGTGAAGATGATATATAATTAGGCTGAGTCAAGTTATTAAGGCATAATTCAGAGACAGAAGAGGCAGACAGAGAGCCAAGGGCTGGAGACCTTAGCTCCTCAATTCTACCTGAAGATTTTGGGTCAGGATCTGGAAAATCCGGTGGAGTTGCTGGGAGGCTGTGATCCCAGGCGGCAGAACAACCTCTAGGAGGCACAACTCCGCAGAGCATTCAAGAACAGGAGCACTCAGCGGCCTCCTGCTGGCGATATTGCGGGAGAACAGACTTGAATGTCTGGGTAGCTGTTCCAGAGAACACTGTGAGGTCATAAAGAACCAAATGATGAGTGATAGACTCGTGGGATCAGCGTGGGGTCAACGTAGTGTCATGTGGGTGGAGCTTGGGTGGTCAATACAGAGTCACTATGAGGTCACCATGGGTGTTAATTTTTGAAAATATGCTATAGGAGCTTAAGCGAAGCAAGTGAAAATGACTGAAGCTGGCTGTACCTCAGGGCCTCTCTCAGCTTTTCCTCTTTGAGCTGATAAGTAGAGTCACAGTGAATGTCTTCAACTCATTCAGAATAAATCAATCAATTCCCCTCGACTCATTACAATGGCTTTTTAATTTTTATATTTAATTTGAACACACTATGGTCCTTAATTTTATATATTTTCTAAGTATGGTACTCTCTAGTGAAAAGAACTTTGGGGAATTTAATATTGAGATAACCCTTTATGAAGTAACTATTGGCTATATTTTTATAAATTTTAATATATATTAAAGCCCACAAAAATTCAACTTTGAAATTCAAAACATGTTTCAATGCAATTTTGACAGCAAAGGGAGAGGGAAAAAATAAGGCAATGCTTTTGATAGCATTTGAAAGCAATGAATTTAATGCCAATATAGTTATAACTAATAATATAACACTGCATCTCAATTATAAATCATTGAATGATTAATATCTCTTAATTTTTACGAAGTCTTCCTGTAAAGGGTCTATCATAGGGCATATTTGTCTATGTACTCTTTTTGATTCTGGGATATTCTCATAATTGTCTGATTGTCTTCCACTGGTACTTATGAAGAGTGCATTCCAAACCCTTAACTAGTTACTTCTCAGTCGTAAGGACATTGGCATTGATAATTAACTAAGACAATTTGGAAATGAGGAATCAGTTCAGTGTTTAGCTGTGGGTGACTTCCTCTGCTTCCATCTGTCACTGGATGGAGGTTCTAGGATGGTATATGAGATAGTTGTAAAAATCATTATCAGGGAGTGGAATTTAAGGTATTCTCTCCACTATTGCTTAGTTTGCCAGTGTTGTCATCCTTGTAGATCACTGGAAATCTCACTAGTGCCAGATATCCTCACAAACCTAGAATGATTTCCTCAATTATAATATCTCTCAAACTGCTGTCCTCTTTATTTCCCCCAACTCAAAGTTCCTGCTCCCCCATGTCCTCTTGTCTGCTCCTCTTCATCCCCTCTCTTTTTCCTGGCTCCCTTCCCCCTCCCCCCATGCTCACAATTAGCTCAGGAGATCTTGCCTCATTCCACCTTCTCTGGAGTGCCATGCATATCTCTCTTAGGGAGCTTCCTGCATCCCAGACTCTCTGGAAGTGGGATTGTGGGCTGGGACTCCCCTGATCTATGTCTAAAATCCATATATGAGTGAGTACATACCATGTTTGTCGTTTTGTGACTGGGTTACCTCACTCACAATGGTTTCTTCTAGTACCATCTATTTGCCAGCAAATTTCTAGATTCCATTTTTTTCTGCTGAATAGTATTCCATTTCATAAATGTACAACATTGTCTCTATCCAATCATCATTTGAGGAGCATCTAGGTTGCTTCCCAGTTCTGGCTATTACAAATATTGCTGCTATAAACATAGTCTAACAGATGTCCTTGTTGTATGAATGTGCATCTTTTGGGTATATGCCTAAGTGTAGAATTGTTGGGTATTGTGGTAGACTGATTTTCATTTCCTGAGGAAGCTAGATACTGATTTCCATAGTGACTGTATGAGATGACACTTCCATCAGCTGTGGAGGGGTGTTCCCCTTTCTCCACATCTTCTCCAGAATAAACTGTCATTGGTGGTTTTGATTTTAGCCATTCTGACAGGAATAATATGGTATCTTAGAGTTGTTTTGATTTGCATTTCCCTGATTGCTAGGGATGTTGAGCATTTTCTTAAGTGACCCTCTGCAATTTTAGAATCCACTAAGAATTCTCTATTTAGTTCTGTTGACCGCTTTTTAATTGGATGCTTTGGTGCTTTGGAGACTTGCCTCTTGAGTTCTTTATAGATTTTGGAGATCAGCCCTCTGTTAGAAGTTGTGTTAATGAATATCTTTCCCATTCTGTGGCTGGCCTTTTTGTCTTGTTGACTGTGTCCTTTGCCTTGCAGAAGCTTCTCAGTTTCAGGAGGTCCCATTTACTGTCTATCTCCATTTCTGTGCTACTGGTGTTATGTTCAGGAAGCAGTCTCCTGTACTAATTCATTAAAGTGTGCCCCCCACTTTCTCTTCTAAGAGCTTCAATGTGACTAGATTTATGTTGAGGTCTTTAATCCATTTGCAATTAAGTGTTGTGCATGGACATAGACATAGATCTATCTGCAGTTCTCTACTTGCCAGCATCCAGTTATGCCAGCACCAATTGATGATGTCCTCCAAACCAAATCCATGAGCCATTCTGACCTTTACGTCCACCTTCCCCACATCCAGCCCATCTGTCCTTCTCCTCTTCCCTACCCTCTCTGTGCCACACAATCCATCCTTCTCACTCTCTCCCTACCTCTTGCTCATGCCACCCATCTTCCCCTCCCCTAACTCTCACTCCCATCTCCCTGCCATCTGCCCTTCTCACAAATTTTATGCAGTACAGGTTTTCAAAGTATGAACAGATGATTCCCTATTATTTCCTCAGTGTCTACTGTTGTGTCCCCCATTTCATTTTTGATTTCGTTAATTTGCATGGTCATATTCTGCTATTTGGTAAGTTTGGATAAAGTTTGTCTATCTTGTTGATTTTCTAAAAGAACCAACTCACCGTTACATTGATTCTTTGTGTTGTTTTCCTGGTTTCTACTTTATTGATTTCAGCCCTCAATTTGATTATTTCCTGTCATCTAGTGTGAGTATTCTCCACTTTCTTTATGTGGGCACTTAGTGGTATGAACTTTACTTTTAGCACTGCTTTCAAAGTGTCCCACGAGTTTGGGTATGTTATGTCTTCATTCTCATTGAATTCTAGGAAGTCTTTATTTTCTTTTTTTATTTCTTCCTTTACCCAGGGATGGTGCAATTGCCCATTATTCAATTTCCATTCGATTGCAGGGTTTCTGCAATTTGTTGAATTCTAACTTTATAACCTCATGGTCTGATAAGATGGAGATATTCCAATTTTTTGTTCCTGTTGAGGTTTGCTATGTTTCCAAGTATGTGGTTGATTTTTGAGAAGGTTCTTGTGGAGCTGAGAAGAAGGTATATTCTTTTGTGTTTGTATGGAATGTTCTATAGTTGTCTGTCAAATTCAATTGGGTCATAGATTCTATTAGTTCCTATGTTTCTTTGTTCAGTTTCTCTCTGGTAGTCCTGTCTAGTGGTGAGAGAGTGGTGTTAAAGTGTCCCACTAAAAGTGTTTGATGTTATATGTGTGGGTTGAATTTTAATAATGTTTCTTTTACTAATGTGGATGCCTTTGTGTCTGGGACATAGATGTTCAGAATCAAGACTTCATCTTGGTGGATTTCTCCTGTGATGAGTATGAAATTACCTGCTTCATCTCTTTTGATTGATTTCAGTTTAAATCTCATTTTTTAGATATTAGGATTGGTACACTGCTTGTTTCTTGGGTCCATTTGATTGCAAAATCTTTTCCCAACCCTTAACTCTGAGGTTACGTCTGTCTTTGAAACTGAGATGTGTTTCATGTATGGAGTAGAAGGATGGATTCTGTGTTAGAATCTATTCTGTTATCCCGTGCTGTTTTTTTATGGGCAAGTTAAGACCATTAATATTGACGGATATTAATGAGCATTGATTGTTCATTCTTGTTTGTTTTGGAATGGCTGTTGTTGTTGGATTTGTATGTGGATTTCCACCCCTTTCATCTTTTGGCTGTTGGTAAAGTGAGGTTACCTATTGCCTATGCTTTTCTGATTGTAGTTAATTTCTTTGCATTGGAATTTTCCTTACAGAACGTTCTGTAGAGCTGGGTTAGTGGATATGTATTGCTTAAATCTGGTTTTGCACAGAATATCTTGTTTTCTCCATCTATATTGATTGAAAGTTTTGCTGGGTATAGTAGTCTGGGCTGGCATCCATGGTCTCTTAGTGTCGATAGAATATTTATCCAGGACCTTCTGGCTTTTAGAGTTTCTATGTAGAAGTCAGGTGTAATTATGATAGGTTTGCCTTTATATGTTATTTGACATTTTCCCTTAGCTGCTCTAAGTATTCTTTCTTTATTCTGTATGCTTTGATTATTATGTAGCAAGGGGACTTTTGTGTGGTCCACTCTATTTGGTATTCTGTAAGCTTCTTGTTCCTTCACTGACATGTCTTTCTTTAGGTTGGGAAAGTTTTCTTCTATGATTTTGATGAATATGTTTTCTGCACCTTTGAGGAGGGTTTCTTCACCTTCTTTTTTTTTCTTGGGGAGAAAAGGGTTTATTTGGTTTACACTTCCACAGCACTGTTCATCTCTGAAGGAAGTCAGAACAGGAACACAAACAGGGAGGGACACTAGAGCAGGAACTGACATAGAGACCTCAGAGAAGTGCTGCTTACTGGCTTGCTCTCATGACTTGCTCAGCCTGTTTTCTTTCTTTTTTTACATTTTTTATTATTTATTTTTAAATTTAAATTTAAATTAGAAACAACGTTGCTTCACAAGTCAGTTCCAGGTCCCATTCCATTTCCCTCCCCTCCTCCCATTACCTCCCCCTAACCACCCCAATATCTCCTCATTTCCCCAGGGAGTGTGAGGCACTCCATGGTGGTGTCCATGGTCTGTCATTTCATCCAGGGCAGGGCCTAGACTCTCCCCCAAGAGTTCAGGGTGAGAGTGCATCTCACATTGTTGGATGGGAGTCCAAAGTCCATTTGTATACCAGGGATAAATACTGATCTACTGCTCAAGGCTCAATAGATTACCTAGGCCTCCTCACTGACGCCCACATTAAGGGGGTCTTAATCAGTCCCATGCTGGATTCCCAGGCATCAGCCTGGGATTCAAGAGCTAACCCTTCTCAGGTCAGCTGTTTCTGGGGGTTAAACCAGCCCAGTCTTAATCCCTTTGGTCATCAGTCCTCCCTCTCTGTTACTGGCTTTGTTGAGTTCAGCTCA